GCTTAACCAATTTTCTCTCTGTGAAAGCCTGAGAGAATGTTTTCTCTCCATGTGACTCTCTTTAGGCACACTCTATATCACTGATCACTTTCCTCTGTGACCCCGTAATCTCCTTGCTCAGAAAATTTGGGACACAATTGAGTTAAATGATGTTACAGTACAGGTTCTCCTGTGTCATGCATCCTCACTGACCTTGAAAGGCTAGGGCCAAAATGTTGGATGACCTTGTAGCCCTTCCTTTTCTCTAATTTTTGATCTGAAAACTTAAGTTGTTAATCCTTCAGAAGAGAAGCTTATTATTATTATCCTAGAACATAGGCAGGTGAGCTTAACCTCACTGTTTGTCTGACTGTCAAACATCTTAGACATAACATGGAACAGCTATCATCCATCAAGTATTGCTATGTGAAACTTTAAGTCCCTACAAAATATGAAGAATTAAAAATTAAAATAAATTTAAAAAATTAAAAAATAAACAATTACATATTTTTACACAGAAATTTAGAAATCTAACCATATATAGCGTTGCAGCAGGACAGTCCTATGACATTTTTTTTCCTTGTCTCTTGTTTTCATTTATTATCTTTTTTTTTTTTTAACAAACATTTACTTGAGAGACAGTATGGCAGTAATTGGTATGTCATGACAAGCAGTACATATTTAGAAGACCAGAACGACAGGCATTCCAAGCATGACCCTACCATTACACATTGCTATCTTCAGTGCAGTTGCTTAGTTCACAGGTATCGGCATATATAATTAGTCAGGGTGAGAATCCTACCAATGAACTGCTGGTTTCAAAAACCTGCTGAAGATACTCAGGATCATTGCCTTAACCATCTTGTGCATATTCCAAAACCTTGTTTTGATAAAGGTAAAGTTTCTTGTCAGAATCTTATGTCCAGTAACTGGTATCTCTATAAACAGCATCACTGCATGCCTGCTAACTCCTGCTGACCCCTGTAGAGAGGATTCTGGTCATCTATAATTCACATCCAAATGGGCCTCAGGTTTTGTTGTCAGTTTGTGTGGAATATTCCAATGACTGGTTTGCTTCTGACTTGGATTTAATTCTTTTTCATCTCCACTGCAGGTTTATCATTATCTAGTGTGTCTGTCCATACTTTGCATGAACTGTTCAAAAATATGGTGAATGTTTACTTTCTAAAAAAATTATTACTGTAAAAGAACCATTGCCCTTAATCTCTCTCCACATATCCCCCCCCCCCCGTGCTTTGAACACATGTATGTTCCTGCCACTTTCTGAAGCTATTCTGGAAGTCCTCTTTTGTGTCTTCAGGAGGTATAATAAATATGATAAATGCTACTGCCATGTGCCAAAAGAAAGTTAGGCTCAGAAAAGCATCACAGTGCTTCTTTATTTACCTTTTTCACTGAATTGGCACCGTGCCCCTTCTATATCTTCCCCAAGTATCAAATGACCATGAAAGAGTCATGCTTTGAATCAATTCAGGGCATTAAGGCAGCCATGACAACACAACTGGAGATGATCAAGAAACAAGGACATTTGGGCCGACCAAATAGCTCAGCAGATTAAAGCGCCTCTAAGCAGGCGCAGGGGCCTGGGGTTCCATCCCCAGGTCTGCTGTGCAGGCTCTGCCCCTGAGGTGTGCTGAGACAGCAATTGAGACTGGGTATAGTGGCGCATGTCTGTAATCCCAGGTCTCTGGAGGCTGTAAACAGGTGGATCACTGTGAGTCCGATCTAGCAGTGAGACCCTGAACACCCTTTAGATCCTTCCCTAAAATAAAAAAAAAGAAAAAAGAAAAAGGACATTTAGGATTGCTTTAGTAAGTGGCAAGAATGAGGGATACAGTGTGTTTGAGGCAAGGGGTAGTGTTCTGAGGGAGACTGATGGTAGCATGTCTTTTACTATAACAATTTTTTAAAAAAATTAAATATTTAAAGTACATTTCAGTCCTACCTTGTTGTAGTACATTGATGTATGCAGTTCAGAACAGTTTTCTTATATGGCCCGAAATAGTTGTGATGTGCTTATAGGGTTGACAGAATAGCTGACCAAGATTTCAGTTCTCTTCTTAGATTTTAAAAGCACAGAAATCAGCAGTTTCTATAAGCACTTGAGAGAGGAGAGGAATATGGTTTTACTGGTATGTGAGCTGATAGGAAATAGCCCTTGCAAAGAAGAGAATATTTGGAAGTAAACTTTCTTCTACGATTTTTTTGTTAATTCCCAGTAGAGAAGTGTGAGTTTGTCTACATTTTGGTGAAAACCATATGAAACAACTAGGTTTGAAGAATTTGCCTGGGACTCAAATATCATTTTAGATTGGAAATATTTTAAAGATAATTGTTATTTGCTTTCAAGCAGACTTTGGGCTTTTTGGATACCTGTCAGTTCCTGAAAATTGGAAGAAAATGTATAGTTTCTTGATGGTATTTATGTGTGTGCAAATTGCTTTGACATGACTTCGATTGAGATACATAAGTAGAATGAATAATAACACATGTGGTGCATTTGTGTTGCTGTTGGGCTGCAGTTCTTGGTAACTGACACTAGGCAAATACCGAAAGTAAAAGAGCATAAACTGGAAAAGATGAGTGGAATAGCCTTTTTTAAAACTCTTTATGAAATCAGTTCATTCAAGGATATATTAACATATAGCTTTTGTGCCAGTACTGATTTTGTTGTCTGGCTTTCAGCCTTTCATACAAAAAGAATTAGGAGAAGCAAGCAGTCTGAGAGCTTTTTAAGAACAAAAGTACCTAAGAGCTAATTGGCATATTTCTGTTTCCTGGTATGTATCATCCTTTGGTCGCCCCAGATTAAAGTCCCTTGTGGAGAGAGTGACTGCAGTTCTGTGACTTTTTTTTTTTTTTTTGTTGTTGTTGTTGTTATGTAGCAGTTCACGCAGATGTGAAGCTCAAATAAAAGGTGGCTTTGTGGAAGGATTAGTCAGAAAATAGAGTGGTTTATTTAATCTACCCTAGAAGTGTGTGATAAAGAGTAAGAGAAAAATCACAAAGGAAATTCAGGAAATAGAAAAATAATATATTCTAAGAGTCAAAGATTTTTTAGGATTTAATAAACAAAAATTCTTTAGAAGGCACAGCTTTGTTTTGCCCAAGTATCGCATGGCAATCCCCCAGGCCATATTGTCTTGTGGTCCACTTAATGTTATTGTTTTTGGGTCTGTTATTTCTTTTGGGGGTAGTGTATACTTTTATATGTATAAATTTGGTACAGGGTCTCACTACGCAGCTCAGACTCAGTGATTCTCCCGTTTTCAGCCTTCCCAGCACTGAGAGTACAGGCACACACCCAATGAGGATGTGCCTTTTTGAGATAGGGTCTCGCTTTGTAACCCAGGCTGGTCTGAACTTTCAGTGACCCTCCTGCCTTAGTCTCCAGTGCTGGGATTAAAGGCATGCCCCATCACACCTGGCCCGGAGTGGCTGTTATTTCTAATTCCATTTTCCTGTTGTCTTTTCTCCAACTGTTCTTTAGATGTAGATTCTAAAAAAGAAATTTTAAATTACAGTGAGTGGCAAGTCAGCCAGTAAGCCTAGCAAGTTGAGCGGCTTACTGTTTCCCATCAGTCGAAGAGGCGTTTGACTTGTCTATAGGCAAAAAAGACAGGTTTAGTGATAGCTCATGTATGGTTTGATATTTTTTTTTTTTTACAGCATTCAGAATTGTCAAACCAAATATCTGTGTTCAAATAATTGAATGCCAAAGCTCAATTTAAATAATTCAAAAGCAGTGTACTTGATGATGGGTGAAATGGGTTGTACTTGATTAGAGATTACATACAGTAAAGGACTTCTTACCCCCTCAGATGGAGAGTTTGAATATTTACAATTAAAGCCAGGTGCAGGGGTAGGCACATGTAATCCCAGCTTCTTGAAGACTGGGGAGGAGGACTGTGAGTTCATGGTTAGCCCAGACAATGTAATGAAAATGACTCTAAAGAAATTATAACTCATTAGGAAGCAGTAACTTATTTTATTCATTTATTTTGTTTTTCTTGAGACGATGCCTTACTATATAGTTCAGGCTGGCCTTCAACTCACTGTGTAGCCCAGACTGACCTTGACCTGGACTTGTAATGATCCTCTTCAGCCTCCTAAATGCTGGGATTACAGGTGTGTGCCACTTTTCCTGGCTGGAGGTGGGAAATTTACTTCCTAAATTCCTTTTCCTAGCTAAACTCCTTGTTTAAATTCCCAACTTCCCAAAGTAAATCACTTAATGTTATTTTTTAAAATAAATAAAAACATCTTCAGAGTAAGAAAAAGGTTGAGTGGTTGGTTTTTTTTTTTTTTTTTTTTTTTTTTTTTTTACTATATAATTTAATCTACCCTGATTTCTGGGTCAAATGTCTAATGAATATAAATTAAAACTCCCACAGAAATCTTTTCCAAGGGCTCTACATTCCTATTGGAAAGATGCAAGTGGAACATCAGTTTCAAAAATTATCTCTGAGAAGTTTGGTTAACTACTTTAAAGAAAGCCTTTGTCTAGCCTTTCAGTGAAATTTGAATTATTTTTCTAATTTTCCTATAACTAAAACATTGATTAACATCTGAGATAATTTTGATGAAGTTTTTCCTTTTAAGGAAAGGCCCACTGATTTTTCTTTTAAGTAACAAAAATCTTCAGAAATGTGCTTTTCTATTCTGGCGTGTTTTTGTAAATGCACCGCTGTACCTTACAGGGTGGCTTGAGGTAGATTTTCTAGGAGTTAGGCATGTGCGTCAGTTATCAAGGAAGCTGCAAACGTAGTCTATTAAGCTGTGGCTCAGAATTCACAATTACCCTCTCTTTTTCTCTTTTCAGCATCCAGCTCTGTATACTTACTTTCTGCCAGCCCTTTACAAAAGTGGAAGTTGAGGTAAGTCAATTCAAAATATAGCCTTGAACATGAGATCTGGTCTTTCCTTTAATTTTGAATTTAAAGTCTAGAGAGGCCAGATATAATGTTCTACCACCTTTTAAATAAGCCATGGTCTTTTATACATTGAGCATCTTTATCAGTGCTGTCAGATTTTGTTTTTGGAGTTGTGTCAAGAAATTCCTCTTGGGGGCTGGGGATATGGCTCAGTGGAATAAGTGCTTCCCTGGCAAGCGCAAGGGTCTGAGTTCAATCCCCAGTTCCACAAAAAATAAAATAAAATAAAATAAAAAGACATTCCTCTTAACATGTATCTACCCTTGGTCCCATCCTTTTACTCTTTTACTCAAAAGTGCTAACCTTTTCTAGGTTGAATGAAAAACTTTCACACTCTGACATCAAGAGCTGATGACAGATGGTGGAGCCAGGTCTTTAAAGAGAAGCTTCCATAACAACTGAGAAGTGGGACTTTCAGGGCTGGGGGACAGAGAGGTAAAGGTCAGAATGCCTATCCTATGGAATCTGTCTGTACATGTGAGCCCGGTGGAAATCGTAGTGGGGAGGTGGCTCAAAGCACATATCACAGGACAGTCTTTCAGTTTGAGGTGAAGTGGCAGAGAAGTAATCTAAACATTTGGAAAAGTCTGATCATGTTTTTAAAGGCTCTGAGGGTTTGTTTCACATAACAGGTGACAGCCTTAGGTAGCTCCTGAAGAGAGGATTAAAATATTGTGTCCTAAGAATCTTGCTTGGATGTCATCATTGCATCTATAGATTATGTAATGAAAAACTTGTATTTGAATATGTAATACACAGTTCTGAATGGAAGTGTGTACTCTAAGTGATAAGAATATGGAAATTAACTCCCAAGAATACTATTTTGTTTTGATGAATAGCTTAGGGATTAGGCCATTCAGAAGTTGTCAGCAATATGAAATGATACAGGAGAGCAATTATATCTCAGAATGAAACCAGTGAAATTTTTTTTGAGACTTGCATGTTGTCTGATTACCTCAAAAATATGAATTTGTTAGTTTTATTTCACAAATACCTACTTTGAAAACCAGTTTAACATCTTTCTGTACAATTAAAAACATGACACTACCTCTTAAGATCTACTTCAATATTTCTAAGGAAAAAAAAACTTAATCTGTATACTAACAACTTCAGAAGGTACCAGGGTAAATAAAACCTGCCAAGTCTCTTTTCTTAGTACTTCTAAGTTCCTCTAAAGTGCTCGATTTACAATCTTTTCTCCCTATTTTTGCTGTCTCTAGAACAGGTATTCCATACATCACATTTCAGAAAGTCCTTTATCATGTTATTCCTAAGTACTTTGAGCACAGTTTTTCCTTCTTTAGTAATTGCTCAGGTAGTCTAACCCAGTTTTTTTTTTTATTTTTCCTAAAACAAAACAACTTAAAATTTAACCAGTCATTCTATCTTTCCTGCAAATTTGAAAGATACCCCTGCACATGTGTGCATGCCTGCGCACACACACACACACACACACACACACACACACACACCCTCTAGCCTTTGGTCTGTTGTTGCCTCTCCAGCTGAAAGATCTAGTAACAGATGTGGAAATGCACATAGAACTGGACGTTTTTTTCAGCACATGTGTCAGTGGTCGAACTGTATTACAACAGAGGTATGTAAATTCCTCAGTTTTTGCCTCGGCTGCTATTACCACATTTCCATGTCACAGCTTTCTTTCTTTCTTTTAAAAATTACAATATTTGCATTCTCCAGCTGGTTCTGAAACCTGTTTGGATAATATGTCCTGGCAAAGAGAAGAATGTGTCCTTTGTTCTATAGCTTCACAAACAAAATAGCTTTCAGCTGGCTGAAATAGTTGACTCAGAAGGGATTTGATGAATTAGAGTGTGGTGCAGGGCAGGACGGAGGGAATTTATGGAGTTCAAACTTAGTATTTTTAAAAATTAAATTTATTGGCACATTTTTAGGTATATATAATGATCACATTAATCATAGGGAGTTTGTATCTGTACATGGTATGACCTGATTCTTCCTTTTGTCCTCTTCCCATCCTCCCCCGCCCACGCCATCCCCTCATCATCCACGAAAGCTTTGCTTCCATTTTTTCCTTCTTCTCTCATCTTCTCTTCCCTTCCTTCCTTTCTGTCTCCCACCTCCCTAGTCCCCCTTATCATTTGAACTTTTTTCTATTTATCATATCTGTTATACACTGTTGTCCCCATGCACACTTCCAGTTTCTCAAACTGGAGAAACTGTGATGTTTATACATATGTGTCTGATTTCACTTAAGCATATAGTGCCAACATGTATAAATTTACCGAGAAATGTTCAAGCTTACTTTTCTCATGGCAGAATAGTATTTCATTTTATAAAAGAAAAGCGTATCTTCTTTATCCACTTATCAGTTGATGGACATACGGGCTGTTTCCAAGATTTAGCTATTATGAACAGTGCTGCTATAAACATGGGTATTCATATATCACTGTGGTAGACAATGCTTTTCTTTCTTTCTTTCTTTCTTTCTTTCTTTCTTTCTTTCTTTCTTTCTTTCTTTCTTTCTTTCTTTCTTTCTTTCTTTCTTTCTTTCTTTCTT